AATTACAAAAGTAAAAGGTGAGCATGTCTCCTTTTAGCAGTCCTCCTCTTAGCCCCAACCCCACATGCTGGTCCTGACAGCTCTCCCACCTCCTCCCCCAGCAGGGCCTGCATCTCCCTTCCCCTTCCCATGTGGTCTGGTTGGCTGAGCCCCTTTAAGCTGCCGCCCCACTCGCTTCTCTCTCGCAGGGGGCGGGGAGTAAGTGCAGGAGCCAGCCTCTCCCGCCCCGCCCCGCCTCCTTCTCCCTGCTGTCTGGCCCAGGTGGCCACTGCAGATGCACCTGGACACAGAGGAGCCAGACCAGAGCCATGCTCCTGCCAGCTGTCGCCCTGGCTGTCCTGCTGAGCCCTTGTGGGACGGGGGCCATCAGGGGTGAGTGCTCAGTGGGCCAGAGCGGGTGGGGCTCCTGGAAGCTTTGCAGCTGCATCCGAGCCTCTTCTCTCTTCTTTCTCCTCTTCTGTGAGGTCATCTTTCTTGCTCTCGTTCTAACAACGGTAATAACCACCATCTATGAGCACCTACCAAGTGCCAAATCTCACTTCATTTTCACAGCAACCCTTCCAGGAAGGCGCTTATCATTCTCGTTTTGGAAAGACAGAGGCTCAAAGAGATTAATAAATGTCTCATGAGCCCATGTCACAGCACTGATGACTGAGGAGCCACAGTTCTGCGTCCCCCTCAGGCCAGTCTGTCTGTCTCTCTGACATTTCCAAGGCAACCTCTTAAAACAGGAGTCTGCAGTGTCTGCCCACTGCCTACCCCTTTGCCTGCCCATCTCTGGTGGCCTCGGAACATCAAACCGTCACCACTGCCCGTGCGACTTACCTGTGTGATTAGTCATATCTGCAGTGCGACCACTTCCGCCTTCCTGGAACCTTTCTCTTGTTCCCTGTCTCTTATGAGCACGCTTCTCCTTGTTCTCTTCCTACTCCTTAGGCCTGTCCTTTTCAGCCTTTAAAAATGTCCATGTTGCCAGGACACGGGACCGCACACTCAGACCCTGCTGCTAGGACTTCCCATACTTTTCTTGGGTGACCCCACCCAACCTTATAACTTCACCTGCCAGACGACTCCTAGCCCATGTCTAGCGCAGTCTAGCCCAAGGTCCATCCACTTATTTCAACCTCCCTCAAATCCACTCCATGTTGTCCCCTGGGATTCAAACCCAGCCTGTCCCAAACAGAACATTTTCTCTTCTCTCAATCACGTCCTTACCCCTCTTTACCGTTTCAGATGCCACAGTTCTCCACTGCCTGCCTCTTCCTATCCCTCCTCTCATCCCAGCAGTTACTGATCCCCGTGGCTTCTCATCTCCTACTGCCCTTAGCCCATCTGCTCTTCTACCCCTGTGTTCCTGCCCCCCCACGCCTGTCACTTCTCACCTGATTGTCCGAGAGTCCTACTGGTCTTGCTTTCACACGGCCTCCCCCGTCCATCCCCACTGTGGCCACCTCCTAGTACAAATCTGACCACGTCACGCTCTTGATTGAGAGCCTTCCATCACTTCCCAGGGGCTGTGGGGTCAAGTCCAAACACCTGCTCAGCACACAGGCCAGGTCACTGTGCGCCCCGATCCTAACACCAACCACTGCACTTCTCCAGGCGCTGTCTCCTGCTGGTGATGCCCTTCCCTGTCCTCTGTTTCCCTAAGACCTGGTGAGGCCACCCTCCCCCACCCCCCACCCCTGGCAGCCCCGCTCAGATCTCATTTGACGAAGATGCTCTCCGTTGGCTCCCTGCAGCAACTGTGTCCCTGAGTCCCTCAGCACTGATCGGTGTACCCAGCGTTCATCTTTCTTTGTCTTTCTCATCCTTTGGATTCCAAGCAGCAGAGGACAAGAACCATGTCTTCTGGGTTATCTCCTTAGTCCCTGGAGAGTGAAGCTTCACAATAAATATTATGGGGCTTTGTTCTTTTTTTTTTTACTGAATGAAAATTGACATGTTTGCTTTAAAATGCACAGACCCTCAGCTTTAAGAATTTGTGAAAATGCCCTGACCGGTTTGGCTCAGTGGATAGAGCATCGGCCTGCGGACTCAAGGGTCCCGGGTTCGATTCTGGTCAAGGGCATGTACCTTGGTTGCGGGCACATCCACAGGAGGGG